ACCTCTTAGTCATCAGCCAACTCTTGGGCTACTCTTTTACCAACGAATAGTGGGATTGACCGTCACTTTATAACGTCCCCACGGCTGAAAGAGCGAGCATGTTTGGTGTGACGGGGATTCGAACCCGCGATCCTCAGATTGCGAGTCGAGCGCCCTAACCACCAGGCCATGCCGGGCCTCTCTCATTTGAAGCATACTTCTCAGACTAAAGATGTGGTTATCAGAAAAATCAAATAATTTATACTTCCTTACGTTTCACACAGAAATAACAAGTACACGAATGTCTTATCAAAATAACCAACACTTAGGGCTAAATCACGTCACCTAAAATACACGAGTAAATTGCGTGTTTTCTTGTATGAATATTTCATTCTTAGTCTTAATAAAACAAAAAAAAGTATTTTCTAGGTTAATAAAACTAGCTACAACTTTTCGTGATGTGTGTGTGTACTATATACAGACGCGCGAAAGTAAATAAATAGATCCGTCTAAGCATAGGTTAATAAAACTAGCTACAACTTTTCGTGATGTGTGTGTACTATATAAAGACGCGCGAAAGTAAATAAATAGATCCGTCTAAGCAAAGGGTAAATGTCTACATATAAAGTATTTCATACGGAGATGTTTCGTCTAGAAAATCTAGGCTTAGGTTTCTGGCATTCTATCGCTGTTTAAGAAGAAAAACAGAATCACGAGTTGGTGGATTTTTTGAGTATTTCATCGAACGAAGTGTAAATCTTTTTAGGTAGCATTTTTCTATTTCCTGCGTTTAGGAATTTGGAAACATCAGGTCTGAGAACTGATATGATTAACAACACTTGTTAGCTTTTATCAACTCCCAATAACTAAAGATTTCTTTGGTATGTTGCAGAAGCAGCCGTGCCAGGCAGACACTCGGAAGACGAACACGGTATCAGCTTCCCAAGCGAGGATGATGAGGGTCTGGAAATCACGAGACGCATATGATAACATCATCTCCCAAACGTGAGACTTGTTGACTATATTACAAAGTTACATTCAAGTAAATACCTGGAAAAAAAGATGACTGAAATAAAAACTTCTTAAAAAACGCAAGTCATCTCAGACATTGTTTTGTTTGTTTTGAATTTCGCGCAAAGCTACACGAGGGCTATATGCGCTATCCGTCCCTAATTTAGCAGTGTAAGACTAGAAGGAAGGCAGTTAGTCATCACCACCCACCGCCAACTCTTGAGCTACTCTTTTACAACGAATAGTGGGATTGACCGGCACGTCATAACGCCCCCACGGCAGATTGCGAGTCGAGCGCCCTAACCACCTGGCCAATGTAAAGGTCGAAGAATTACATGGGGCGGTAAGATCACTTTAAACTTGTTCGTGAACAAAAAGAAAACATAATATTTCCTATGAGACGGATAAAACAGGAAACACAAACATAACGTACCTTTTATGTAGGTGTGATACTTATAAAACAGAAAACATAATGTACCGCACATGTAAGCGTGGGACTAACAAAACAGCAAACATAACGTACCGCACATGTAAGCGTGGGAATAACAAAACAGCCAACATAACGCCCCCACGGCAGATTGCGAGTCGAGCGCCCTAACCATCTGAACAACGTAAAGGTCGAAGAATTACATGGGGCGGTAAGATCACTTTAAACATGTTCGTGAACAAAAAGAAAACATAATATTTCCTATGAGACGGATAAAACAGGAAGCACAAACATAACGTACCTTTTATGTAGGTGTGATACTTGTTAAACAGCAAACATAACGTACCGCACATGTAAGCGTGGGACTAACAAAACAGCAAACATAACGTACCGTGCATGTGAGTGTGTTACTTATAAGACAGAAAACATAATGTACCTTGTATGTATATGTGATACTTATAAAACAGAAAACATAACGTACCGCGTATGTAAGCGTGGGACTAACAAAACAGCAAACATAACGTACCGTGCATGTGAGTGTGTTACTTATAAGACAGAAAACATAATGTACCTTGTATGTAGATGTGATACTTATTAAACAGAAAACATAACGTACCGCGTATGTAAGCGTGGGACTAACAAAACA